AAAGAGTTGAAAATAACGGACCGTACTGACACCGCAAGCACCCGCGTTTTGGAGTCCCTTCATCTGAATGTCTGTGATAACATAATGAGGGCAATCGTAATAATTGCCCAGACTTCCAATACTTTGCAGCAACAAGGTAATACCAATCAGTATGTGGATCAAAGCGGAATGTGGAGGGTTTCATTGAGACATTCTGAGAACTGCAAGTCTTCGATGAAACAAGAGATCTGAGAAGATTGATCAAGGACGAGGGGGAATTAAACGTTACGACCGACGGAGAAATGTTTGATCAGACACGCACCCAAAGAAGTAAGAGCTTCTTGTTTCCCTCCAAGAAATAATATCGCAAACAGCTCCAGGGTAGAAACATTGATCCACAAGTTCAACCCTAGAATACAAGGAAGAAGCAGTGTGGTAATTGAAAGGGGAGCAGCCGTTAACGCTAACCAGAATTCTTGAATTAATGAATGTTGTGCTTTTACAACAAATATGAGGTCAACAAGATTCAAGAGACAAGCAGCGCGATCTTCAATGTTACTGTGTCGACGTCGTCTGAATACTTTGAGGCTGCCATTCAATATGCGACCCTGAAACGATCTGCGAAGAACAAACAAAACTTGAATAGCCATCCAACTTCCAGGAACAACAGATCTGAAGCTCTTCTCATCACAATAGCGTTCGAGCTGCTGTGGTACACAACGTACTTCAAGTCATAAAGAACGGCCCTCTCGGTTTCGTTGAGTGGAACTGGTAAGGACTTCCTGATGATCGTCATCAATCGGAAAAAAAAACGCACCCAGCGTTGTATACGTCGCTCCGTAACCACCAAACAAATCAGCAATTGTCTCAGCGCATGATCGATACAGAACATTCGAGCGGCGTGGAGTTTCCTGTGAAAGGGCTCGTACTGGGGATGAAATTTTCTCTCGTTGATATTCCATTCGCTGCTGTTGCATGATGTATCGCAATGGATAAGAATTCAAAACAAAGAAGTAGATTTACGTCGAGTTCGAGTGCTTGGAAGAAACATCAAAGAAATATTACCGATCTCCATTTTTGAGAGAAGCAGGAGAGTCATGACCGTTAATCCCTGTCCCAAAACTGGTATTCGAGCGAATGTGTCATTGCTGATCTGAATTCTTCGAAAACGAGGCCCGACGCTCTGAATATGATGAGATGTGTTCCAGTGTCCATTTCTTGGGTGGACAGGGAAATATTTCTGATATGTTGGGATACTTGAAAAAATTAGAAGCCGAAAAAGATAAGCTCAGAGAAGATTCAGTGGGCCTTTTTACGTTGACGATACTCCTCCATCGCAGTTTCGAGCTCCGGTCCCTCCAAAATCGCATAGTGGGAGAATTCGGTTGAAAATTCTCCTTGGCCCTAGAATAAACTGATAAAATAAGACAGTCCAGAAATCACACCTTTGTCATGCTTCGCAAATCCCCGATGAAGCCAAACATTCCTCTTAATGGAGCCTCAGCGTCAATGATGGTGTGGTGCGACTAAAAACATAGACACATAGAGAGATGCATATAGATGGACATGTAGATATACTTGTATATGTATCAATGTACATATACATACATAATTATAGATGTTAATATATATTTATGTATCATGCAAGACTCACCTCTCTAATCACATCATTGACTTGGATCGAACGTTTTCCAGCGCCATTTTGGACTGTTGTGACGTATTCATGGGGAGATACTATTTCCACTTTCATGATTGGTTCAAGAACCACAGGGGAGCAGTTTTTATAATGTTCTCTGAAATGATGATAAATAGACTTTCTTTTGCGTGACATCGTTTCTCACTTGAACGCGCCTCTCATACAGTTTCTAAAAGCTGCGTCATGCGAGTCAATTTCGTGCGTCTCTCCTCCAGTCAAAACAAAACGAAAATTCGCAAGAGCAGATCCAGTGAGCAAGCCCTGCAGAGAACAATTCGAAAGGCTGAATAAAAATGAATAAAAACAACCGAACAGTGAAATAAAAACAACGATGAATACAAACAACGAACGGTAAAACATACTTCGGTTTTGATTTCATTAAATGCTTTTTTAAGGGAAGTGACGTAAGTAGCAGGAACTCCTTCGCCAACTTGAACGTCCACAAATTCACATTCCGGCTAGCACAGAAAATCATGAAGAGACGGAGACTATTCGGTTCAAACCATGCGGGTGATATTTACCAATGTGTGTCGCGAAGGATCAATTGGCTCGAAGTACCCTTCGATTCTTGCCCACTCGCCACGCCCTCCAGTCTGTCTTTTATGCGTGTAGACGAAGTTGTGTCTTTCTGTGATAACCTCACGCAAATTCACTTTCGGGTTCCCTGAATAACACGCGACCAAAGTTTCAAAGGAGAGTGGAATCATTCCACTCGTTGACCGCGACAAATTGATGTGCGATAAATTGACAGTTCACTCCACGCAACAATTCAATAATTGAAGCTCACCAAGTTTCACGTCAATCCCGTATTCCCTTCTCATTCTTTCCGCATAAATTTCTAAATGTAATTCTCCCATTCCACACAACAACGATTCCTTGGATTCATCATCAAATGTCACTCTGCACGATGAAGAGATCAAGAAATGATTCATTAATCGCTATTCACTTGAATGTCGGATCTTCTCGTTGAAATCTTTTGATTGCTTTATTGAATTTTATAACATCAGCGCTCCCTGACACCTGAATAGACGAGAGTACTAGAGAAGATCGACTATGGAATACAGACTATGGAATACAGACAATGGAATACAGACAATGGAATACAGACAATAGAATAACAGTGAAGGGGCGATTAGAACGATCATGAACAACAAGCTCATGGATACGATTATTGCTAAGGATAGCATTGATAGCCATTGGGGAGAACAGCAGATAATCTGGTAGTTATTATTCTTCTAGAGATGAATGTCAACTGAAGCATCACATGACAATTTTACCGCCAAAACATGTGCCTCAAATTAAGCAGGAAATTGATCTATGCACTCTAGATCGGCTTACAGTGACAGACATGGAAATAACCGTATCAGGAACATACATCGATGACAATGTGACATCAAGAGATTCATCACACAAAGTCGTTCCAGTTGAAACGTCCATCCCACTGATAGCAACAATATCTCCAGCACGAGCAACTTGTATTTCTTCTGCTTCGTTCGAATGCATTCGGTACATTTTTTTCATTGGAATTCTTTTACCAAGAGCGGGTGAGTAAATTGGAATTCCCTTGCGCAACGTGCCCTGCAAACATTTGAAAGAGTCCCATCCATTGAGGTTATTAAGCTTCAAACCCGATAAATGATAGAGAGTACTACGCACTGGGGGAACGATCCACTATGGATAGCTGGTTGCGTGAGAATAGGGATTCATTCAAGTCCTACTTGATAAATTTTTGTATATGTAAGCGTTCCCAGTCCCTCAGCGTCTTGAATTTTGAAAGCCATCGCAATGAGCTTGAGTTTAGGGTCAATTTTAACCGGAACGGCGACACTCGAATCAGAAGCTTGAAACGCCTCCACTTCTCGTTGCCCTGAAGATATAAAGGTGAGTAGAGAGAGTAAAATAAGGAAAACAAAAATAAATTGGAGACCCTCAATGTCTTCATATTTCATCACTGTCATGTTCTACTATGTATGACGATGGTCAGTCAGTCAGGAAGAGAACCACGTCGCTCACAAACAGTTACAACGAATCACCTGCGTGGGGTAAATAGTGGCACACTGCGTCAAGCGCATTCTGCACTCCTTTATTCGCTCGAGCACTTCCAAACAAACAAGGAACCATCTCTCTCTGTATCGTCAATCTTCTTATTCCTGCCCTTATGTCTTCTGCTGAACATTGAGCCTCCCCTTTTTCCAAATAGAGATCTCCAAACTTTTCATCCAAATTTGCGATCGTTTCAATCAATTCAGAACGAACTTCCTGAAAACTCGAAATCAAATTCATAAAAAAAATCTATTCAACCAGCATTCTAACATTTCTATCCAACAACATCATTATGCGTCTAGACGTCATTCAAAAAAATGATATGGAATCAAAGAAGTGAGAGTCTTTCACGTTTCTAGTTTATGGAACAGATCGTCGTGTCCCAGCGGACAACGACTGGCGATTTCAACGAGATGGTATTGATGCTGCACTCTCCTTACCTCTATTTGCGCCTTGAACTCGGGAGGTATTGGCATGGTTTCTCTTTTCTCTCCATATCGACCAGCGAATTGATACCCAGTCCGATCAATAACATCTACAATGCCTTTCAGCTCTGAACCTCTTCCTATCGGAACCTGTAAAAGTGAAAGGGTGCGCATCAATCCAACGAGCATCAAGAACAAGTAAATTTAGCATCAACCAAATGAATGATGTTATTCTGAAACTATTGAGGCATAAGATCATTACTTGGATTGGAACCAGTTTCATTCCTAGTTTCTCTCTCAATTGTTCAACTGTTTTCCAAGGCTCAGAAAGCTCTTTATCCAATTTATTAATGAAGCAGATACGCGGCACGCCATATCTGCATAACAAAAATGGAGTGGTAATGAGAGGTGGCGTTGAGAGGTGGCGTTGAGAGGTGGCGTTGAGAGGTGGCGTTGAGAGGTGGCGTTGACTATAGAGATCAAGTATCGCTACCTCTTCATCTGGCGAGCTATAAGGGTTGGGGGGTTATTTCATGGTTTAGGGTTTACCTCTTCATTTGTCGATCAACTGTATAAGTTTGTGCTTGAACTCCTTGTAATCCACAGACAACAAGAATTGCACCATCAAGAACTCTTAATGAGCGTTCAACTTCTATTTGAAAATCAATGTGACCTTGAAAAAGATTGAGGGGGAGCTGCAGATCTGAGAAACCACTTCAGTACCTGGAGTATCAATAATATTGAAGTGGTGTTTCAAACCACCACAAGACCAATTGGTGAAAGTAGCAGCAGATTGAATTGTGATGCCTCGCTCCCTTTCGAGTTCCATGCTGTCCATTTTTGCCCCCACACCGTCTCCTCCTTGGATTTCATGCATCGAATTGATCCTCCCTGTAAGTGATGTCTCGCAAGTCCGCTTTTCCACGATGCTGTACCTGTATAAAATAGAATCCGTTCTGTGAGAGTTGTTTTTCCTGAATCAACGTGAGCCGAGATACCAAAATTGCGTATCTGATCAATAGCAATTCCCTCAAGTTCGGCCGAGACGGCAGCTGCAAAGCATCGGCGATGGGGCCTTCCAAAATTTCGAAGGGTCGGTAGAAGAGACCCTCTTGAGGAATACGCCCGGAAAATTTTTGTGCTCATAGTGCAGTAGGAAACGGCCTCTCGGGCACAGAGAACGATTTCCTGTTCCTGAGGTTCACTGTGGATTGTGCTGTGCGTTCAATCATTCTTGCCAACGATCATTCTAAACTTTTATCCTGTTAAAATCTGTCCCTTTGGGAATTCTCAGAACCCTCAAAAGGCACGTCTGGAGCTTTCCCGCTTAACGGCGCGGCTGCAGCAACACATCATTGTTTGGAAATTATACTTCCTGGTGAAAATGTCGAAATTGCGCGCGAATGAGAGTTGCGAGGCTCTTGGGAGTTGTGAAAATCCGGCGTATCGTGACGGCCACGTCATGAAATATGTCGTTGTTACTGGAGTGAGTATAGGGATTACAAACTCCTTCACATGGCTCTGTCCTTCTGTAGGGAACTCTCTCTGGCTTGGGAAAGGGAACAACAATCAGCAGTATTGGTGTTGTCTTAAAAACAATGGGACTGCGAGTGACCTCGATTAAAATTGATCCATACTTGAATGTGGATGCGGGAACAATGTCGCCCTATGAACATGGGGAGGTTTATGTTCTTGAGGATGGTGGAGAAGTAGATCTTGATTTGGGAAATTATGAGCGTTTTCTAAATATTACTTTGACGAAAGATCACAATATCACTTCAGGAAAAATCTATGAAAAAGTAATCAGGTGGGTTTGAACTGTAGAGACATGCACTTTCCCGCTGCTCTCTGTCTTTTTGTTAACTTTTGCTTTTCTCTCAGACGGGAACGCAAGGGAGAATATCTTGGAAAAACGGTTCAAGTTGTTCCGCACGTAACGAATGCCATTCAGAACTGGATCAAGTCTGTCGCGTTTCGGAGTGTCGATAAATGTTCCGGCGCACCAGATATCTGTTTAATCGAAGTTGGTGGGACCGTTGGCGACATTGAGAGCGCCGTTTATCTTGAAGCGCTTCAACAATTCTTTTGCAAAGCTGGGGAGGATAATTTTTGTCTGGTAAGAATATTCATTTTGTATTCTTTTGTTCTTTTGTTTGACTTTTCGTTCCTTTCGTAGTGCCACGTGTCGTACGTTCCTATCGTCTGTGGCGAGCCCAAAACAAAGCCCACTCAGCATTCGGTGAAAGAGCTTCGACAAGCAGGCCTTCGACCAGATTTTCTTTTCTGCCGTTCTGAGCTTCCAATCAATGAATCAGCCCGCGCAAAGATTGCGCTTTTCAGCCAAGTGCCTCATTCTCACGTCATCTCTGTTCATAACGTCTCGAATGTGTATCGCGTCCCGATGCTTATTGAAGAACAAAGTTTTGGAGAACTTGTTTGTAGGGTACGCGTGTCTGATGATTTCCTCTTGTCTATCGTTGCTCCATCAGAAACTTGGTCTAGTTGCGCCTTCTCCCTCACCAGAGTCGCCGCCTGCGTCTCTTCAAGATCCAACGTTCAGCATGTCAAGATGGGAATCCTTAGCTGATAAAGCGGATAGCGCCAGTAATCCAGTTCGAATTGGGATTGTTGGAAAATACACTGGTTTCGGCGATTCTTATCTATCTGTTGTCAAAGCGTTGCATCACGCTGCAGTTGAGGCAGATCTCAAGCTTGATATTGTTTGGATTGAATCAACAGACTTGGAACAACAAAACACGAAAACGACTCCAGCCATGTATAGAGAGGCGGTTGCCAAACTCGAATCAGTTGATGGAGTCTTATGCCCTGGTGGATTTGGCGATCGCGGTATTTGCGGACTGGAAGCTGCAGCAGAATATTGTCGAACGCATTCTGTTCCATTTTTTGGAATTTGTCTTGGAATGCAAATAGCGATCATTGAATTTTGTCGCAATGTTCTTGGATTGGAAGATGCAAACAGCGAAGAATTTGATCCGCATTCTCAACATAAAGTTGTTGTCTTCATGCCAGAGGTGAACGCTGATATTATGGGAGGCACAATGAGACTCGGCAATCGAGCGACGATTATTCGTGATAAGAAGAGCGTTGCTTACAAGTTGTATGATCAACAGCCAGTCATCTATGAGCGTCATCGTCATCGTTATGAAGTAAATCTTGATTTCGTTCCAGCGATCGAAGCTCATGGATTAAAATTCACTGGCCAAGATGAACGAGGGCAAAGAATGGAAATCGCTGAATTGCAAGGCCATCCGTTTTACTTCGCTGTTCAATACCATCCAGAATTCACATCACGTCCCATCAAGCCCAATCCATGTTTTTTGGGGTTCATTCTTGCTGCTAAGAGCAGACTTAGTGCTCGGTAATCAGCCCTTTCTCTCTGACCTCGTTTTCCTACTTCATGTTTTCAGATTTGAAGAACATTCTGGTCGGTTACGAGCGGGTTCAACTTATTTGGAAAAGCCACTCAATGATGAAAACAGTCACGTGGAAGCAACCAAGTGAATTGATTCAGTCCCTGCTTGAGTTGCCTGCTAAGTGTTTGCGACCTTGCGCCTTATTTCATGATCCATTGTAGAAAAAACAAATAAGAAATATCATGCAGCTTTGACTCGATTCGCCAGTTGCAGAAGTGCATGACGAAAGAGTGGACACTGTTCCTCAAATACATAGAGATGGTGCAGTGACATGTCCCTTTTATATCGCTCGGCAATGTCTATCAAGGAATACGACGTAGAACAAACTCTTGAAGATGCTACAAAGTCGTCGAATGCCTGGTCGTAGTCCATGACACCGTTGATCAGCTCCGTCCAAAAGTCAAGCGGAAGTTCGTCATAAACGTTGAGGCCATAAACAAGGTCGGTGAGATGTAAATAACATAACTGCGAAACGCGTATTGGGTGGAAGTATCGGTGCTCGCCATCCGTTCTTCCTTCGCTAGGAGACAACGCATCATCTGAATCCTGGGACGTTCGCCTTTTTCTGAGACTCTTCAGAACAGCTTGACCTCCACACTCCCTAGCAGAATACAGTTGAGACACGTTGACAATTGAAGTCCCTACCGAAGATCTTGAAGCACTCTGAAATCAGTTAATGTCAGATGCTTCAAATCACCACTAAGATGAAACAAAAGCTTCGAAAATAAATCAGAAATATCAACCCAAGTTGCACAAGAGTCAAATAATTCTGACGATGGACTCATAGAGATTTCCATGCTTCCGAAGTCCCAATCAAGATCAATATGATCATATGTTTCTGATATGTTTGAGATTTTGAGTCGCTTTCTAACAATCTCTTCCCCTGCTATCCGCCGCTTCATGAAAAAATCGGAACAGGTCCGCGCCTGAGTCAGTCAGGGACAGGGAGTCCAACGCCACGTCGTGCTGTCGCCCTGATGGAGGTCCTCATTCTTTGTAGCGCTGCTTCTGCTTGAGGAATCCTTGCGTCAACGAGATCTTGCAATTCAAAAGCACGATCTCCCCGTAGAGCTAAAAGATCTTCTAGATGGGGTCGCATCGCACTGGCAGAATTTTGATCAATTAAATGTTGCAATTCGCGTCGAAACTCCTGAATGTCCCTCAAAAGTTCTTCTCGTTCATTCAGAAGTGTGAGTCGTAAGTGCAAACCTCTTCCAAGCTGCACCATCAGCGCAAATTTATGAGGTGAAGCGAGTGGAAGCCCAAGAACGTCCCCAAGCGTTCTTTTAGTTCTTGAAACTCTTCTGCTCATAGAGGGCGTTGCGATTTCTGGTCGCGTCAGTTGATCAACTTCTGACTCGAGCTCATCAGAACTTTGTAAACTTTCCTCGTCAAAAACAACGAGCCAAGATTTTCCCACACCTGCAGTCGAGCGACAAGCAGAATCCATTTCAGAGTAAGAATTGGAGAAACAACTGTGACTATCAGAGGGACGTGCTTCACTGATGTCATCGCTTTCGTCCGACAGATCGCTCGCCATGTGAATCAATCCATCGATGTCATGCAACTCATCTAAGACTTGTGATTCGTTTTCTGAGATCTCAGAATTGAGCTGTTGGTTCCAGAAAGCGAAATATCCAGAAATGCGATATTCGCCCGAAGAGAAGGATCGCGATAATTGGAGCCATAGAGTGTGATGCTCAATAAGCTCGAATATGGAACAGGAAGCACGCTCGAGATGGAGAATTGAATTGAGATCCAGGAAGGGCCACAACTAAAACAAATAAGAGTGATTGTCACTTCCCATGATCGTGAAAGTTGAAATATATAATTTTAGAAATTCTTACATGATCACGAATAATGAATAAGACATCAACGAATGTGGTCAGTAAGGGTTGATCACTAGGAATTGCTTGACCATTGGAGATTGTTTTCATTCTAGGGCTTCTTGCATTAACTGAATCGACAAGAGTGTCGTGGATTTCATCGTCAGACTGAAGCGGTTGATTGGGATTTTCTCGGACCTTTGAAGTGACTGGCAACGATACACCCTTACGGCGTGTTTTCTTCAACTTTCGAATTCTAACAGTTCGTTTTAAAAATCTATGACTCAATAAGGAATGAATCCTCCACTGCTTTGGTGGCAGGATCCGTGTACAATGACGCATTGATGATTTCTTGTGGATGGCTTTTCTCTTCCTCCGATTGATTGGAAAATACTTCCGACTCTGAACTGTTTTGTCGTTATAAGAAAAATGATTATCGCTGCTGGAGGAATGGGGTGAGGATGGGAATGGGGAAGGTTGATGAAGAACAATGGGTGAACTTGGGTCTGTGCTGATGGAGTGTGGATCAATTGTAGATTGACGTTCCGTTGAATAATTCTCTTGCATGAATTCTAATTGACTTAATCCAACAATGTTTGATCTTGGGATCAAAAATTCATCGTTTGAATCACCACACTGACAAGAGTCAATGCAAGAAACAATTTGTGGTTTGAGTTGGGAAATGACGCTCGAAACGAATGAAGAAGCAAATCGATTTGCTCTCCTGAGATGAAATACAAATCGCGTGAAATCATCACCGAAACTATGACCCTCAATTATGTCATCTGAAGGTCCATCGATGTCACCGAAACCAGGACCCTCAATTATGTCATCTGACGGTCCATCAATGTTGAGATCGTCACAATGGGAGCGATTCTGTTGATCTTCTTCGTCGCTCTGCACCGAAACCTCCCACTCGCTTGCTTCATCCAGATTGTCTTCGATGGTTGACGGTTTAATGAAATCATAAAGATGTGAGGGCGGATTCAGCCAGATATTCGGGAAACGATCAAACTCATCAGGATCTTCAACTACTTGGGAATCAATCGATTGGATTGCAGGATTCATACAACAATTCGACTCTTCCATCATTGGGTGGAGCATTTATTTTGCAATGGTCCACAATGAGTCTCTTCCACAAATGAATTGAGGAATCTCGGCATCACTATTGGCGAGCTAAGCGGCTCGATACTCCACCACACCAGAGCCATTTGCTCATCTCTGTTTTTGTTTTCCAATAATCCATAAGAAGTGGATTAAGTCACGCGGGTATAGAAGGAGTAATGCTGCTGGAGTGGCGTACGAATGTTTTTTGAAAAAAAACCTCTTTCTGTTGCTAGCTCGATTAAAGGCTTTTATTGTGAAAGTCTCAGGCGATCATAGAGGGAAGATCCAGCTTTGCCTTCTCACCAGTCGAGTGGGCAAACTTCTAAAATTGGGACACAGATGGTACATGAAATGAGAAAGGGGAGAAATAGAGACTCCCCAGCGAACGAAGATCCTGAAAAACAAAACAAGAGCGATGCGGGAGAATCTGCCAATTGAACTGTTGGGACTGAAAACGACTCTAGTGGAGGACATACGGATTGCGGCGAAGAGATGTCAACACGGGTTGCCGATAAAAGAGGGACTTGACGGCTGGGACGCTCGAATGTGGTCGATCTGCGAAGAACAAGCAGGTGCAGCAATTCTTGTAGAGATGGCGGCCTGTACGGGTCTAGTGTGGGTTAACTGGCCAGTCTTTACCACTAGATTACAAAAGGGGACCATCTACACTGAACGAACCTAATGAATGGTAACACGGCGCAACTTCCCCAAATAAGGAAAAGTCCAATCCAAAGCAAGGGATCAGGAAATGCGCCAAAAACCATCCAACAAAGGACAGCAACAACAAATGAGTAGAGTGGCACAAGAGCGGAGAGACCGCTAGCTTTCGGATATCTGAAGGACTTTAAACAACAGAAACTTGGTAGAGCACACAGAGATGAAAGGCACTCACGATATTAAGCGCCGCAGTTGCAAGTGCAGCAAAAACTCCAGCGAGAATAGGAAAGCCAAAAACTCTAAGCCAGTCAGATTTTGCTGAAGTCATCAAATAGGAGTACAGCAGGTTTCATAGCGGAAGATAAGTCAAGGTATCCACTCACCACCGACACTTGAGACGACGTGGTGTCGCGCGTTTGGAGAGATAAACTGAAATGAAAGACTGGAAATAAAGAACGTGATAAAACACATACAGAAATGAACAATCCTAAAGATCCCAATAAACCCAAAGTCAAAGAACGATAGCAAAATCCAGTGAACCCTGAAATCCCTGCGAAGACGAGTTGTACAAGTGTGTGGGGCAATGATTTACCAGCAAGAGCAGCGATGCGAGTGGATGTCACTGAAATAGAAAATGTGTGATTGTTGTGCGTGACCTTCTATCGTCACCTGATCCCGCCATAAGGGCAGCTGAAGCAAGACCGCAGAACAAGCCATCAAGGGATGCAAGGTCCCAGCTCAGAACAAGAACGCAGAAAGCTCCAGAAAACATGATTCCTAACAAAACAGAATCCATTCGGGATGGCCAGACGTTGAAGTAGTGAGCGAAAATGAATGCAACAATCACTCCATCGCAACCACTCAACTAAAGAAGAGAAAAAACAAGTAGTGCCTAAACGTATGTGTGTATCATACCGCCGTTATTGGAGCCCATTGAACAGGAAGAGACCAAAAACCAATTTTCAGCATCGCTTGTGATGCAGCCAAACAAAAACCTCCAAAAACAGGAGAAAAGAGAGCGAGAACAGAAGGAAAGACAATCTGTGATGAATCAGATCTTTGCAATCCATTTTGAAATTGAAGAGGTTCATTGTGTCGGGCGTTATTTCCACGAGTAATGGAAATTGCTTCGTCTAGATTACAACATTGAGAATGAGGGACATTCGTGGGGATTCCATGGGAATGATGTCGTGACTTGGAAGTGCCCCTTTTTCTATCCTGAACTCCTTCAATTGTTCGCATTTCGTGAGTTCTTAAATTTCCTGTTCCATCGAGTGAAGAATCACCCATCGAGATTGTTTTGTCTAAAGCTCGAATGCATCGATCCGTTTCTTCCTCGTTTAATGGAACTATTTTTGAATGCTGCGACGCAGACTCGACACTCATCAGATTTCGAGCTTCCTTTGTATCGAATTTGATTTCTGGACGCCGCGCATCAGAATGAGAAGGGAAAGCATTTGGAAGGACGACGTCTAAGTTTGAAGATGGAAGAACGAGAGACCCAAATTGTGACCACACGTAACCACCTTGACACAATAGAAGATGTAGAATCAGCATATACTGCGAGCCCTGCTGCCCATCCTGCACACTACTGACGACCAAATCCCTCTACAAGTATGGAGTGACTTACCGACGAGTAGACCAGCAAACCCGTTTGTAATCCAGAGAAGGGAGAGATCGAGAAGAGCTCGCCACCACCATGTTTGCATACCATGGAAATCTACGGAAGACTTTGAGCCATTCGAGTGATCTGTCTTATTGAGGGGATGAGACTCGACGCGACTGGCGGCTGCTTGTGAAGACAGCCACTTCAATGATTCCGCAGAAGAAGACGCATTGCTATCCATATGAGCGAGAAATGCATCGTCAACATCAGAGTTGTTGAGCCATGCTTCAACAAGTTTTGGGACTTCTCCTCCAAAATCCTTCAAATCGTCATAACTTGTGCATCCAATGAAGAACGTGGAGAATCCGAGAAGAATGACGCCAAGCAACGTCCATAAAATCGCATTTTGATGGACAAATTGTGGAGAAGCAGGAGGAATTCCAAATGAATACTCTCGGACTCTTTGTCTGTCTTCACATAAGAGAGATTCCATTTCTACTAGAGAGCGTCGTCATACAGAACTCTCAAGACCCTTTAACGATCCATTCAAAGCGATCCCCACGGAATCCACATCTGCCTCAACAGGTCCATTGAAGAGAGTGGCTGGATCAAGTTAGATGTATATGGAGTGGAATCCTGCAAGTGTTGTTTCTAAACGATGTGGAGTTAGAGTTCAAGTGTGCGAAGCGATTCGTACTTTATTAAATGATGGATGTACAGTTCCGTTCATTTGTCGCTATAGGTCTGTTTTTGATCGATCGTGACTGATTGAAGCCACTCTGTCTTTAGAACGGGCCAGATCGACAACAATCCCCCCGAGAGTGTTCGAGAAGTGCAAGAAGCGTTTCAGGAACTCGATCTTGTTGCAACGAAAGTAAATCAAACGATAAAACGGGATACTGAAACGCGACTGATTGTAGCACAAGCCGAGAAAGGAGTACTGAAAAAATCACCGAAGGAGATTCAGAGGTTGAGAGCAACGTTACTCCCAACAGAACTTCAACGAACGTTGCGACGATGTACTTCAGTGGCAGAGGCTGTAGCTTTAACAGCCCCATTCAAAGCACGAAGAAAACAAACAAAAGCAGATCTTGCGAGAGAGCTGGGATTACAGCCGATTGCGGAGAGTATGATGTCTGGAATTGGAGCAAAATTTTGCTTCTGGAGAAATTTGGCAGCAAGCGCTCCAGAAGCTGCGCAACAAATGGATGCAGCAGAGATGCATGATGCTTTGCTAAATCTATTGGGCGAAATGATTGCAAAAGATCTGGATACTTTTGAGATGTTGAAGCTTCTCTGTAATCAAATACCGCCATTCATTAGCAGCACGAAGGCGACAACTGCAGCAAAGTCGCGAGTGTCGAGTTCAGGCGAGGCGGAGAGCAGCCGACTTCGAGTTCCAGGTGCGTATGGTCTGAGCAACACGTCAATGCACGGTTGGGACATGAAAGCAAACCACATGCATTTGTGGACGCAACTTCGAGAAACCTCCACTGGATGCTTTTTTTCTCCTCTTGAATGAAGCACATGAAAATTTCAGTGAAACGTGTTTTTCTCATGTTTTGCTTTTCAGCGGAAGATGTTCGAAATTACGAAGCTTATCATACTTTCAGAAAAAATGCAAGAATGATTGAAAGTCATCAAGTATTAGCAATTAATCGCGGAGAAAAGTGAGAATTTTTGAATTCCATTGACGCTGTACTCGCTGAATACTAATGAATTTTCAGAGCTGGAATATTGTCGGTTGATGTGGAATTTCCAGAAATGTTTTTCGCTCGATTTGACTCTTGGTGTCGAGCGGAAAAGTTCAAAGGATTAATCCGTTCAGAGCCAGTCAATTGTCAGCAAGGGAATGAGGCACCGATTATCACGAATCTCATGTCCTGCTCTGTTCGGATCGCATGGACAAAATTTATAAAAGTAGGAGACGCCAATCAGAGTAGTGTTATTGTCCTTATAGCCTCAGCTGAGGCGCCTGATTCGATCAGAAATCACCCAAGCCGCTGAAAAGTTTGCAGTGAAGTTATTTGCGAAGTGAGATTGATTTGATTGGCGCACCAGATAATTCGCCCAAATGTCTTTGCAAATCAGAAATCTTCGGACGCTACTTTTGACACCACCCCTCAGTTTGTCTTCTCATGCTGGTGCTGTTATGGGGATCGATCCAGGCTTCGCTCACGGATGTAAAGTCGCGATCCTAACACCTGATGGTGAACTGGCTGAGAGATCCGATCGAACACTCATTTGGATTATCTTTCAGGCAATGGGCTTCTGTTTCAGGGAGTTCTTTATCTCCATGCAGGGAGCGCCATTTCACGAAATAGTGAAAGATGTCGATTAGGGCGTCTTATCCGAGATTACGGTGTTGCTGTTGTTGCCGTCGGGAATGGAGTAGCTTCGAGGGAAACCGAAGTCCTTTTGAGTGAATTGGCTTCTAATGGTGAAATCCAAATGGTAATTGTCGTGTACATCGTTCCACTTTATAGTGTTACGTTTCAGGATACGGTGACAAAGAGACGAAGACTTAATAGCGCAGAAATTGCAGGAATCTCTGAAGCCAACGCGTTCCATTTCGTTTCTGTTAGTGAAGTTGGTGTTTCCATTTGGAGCGTCACGCCTTCAGCTGAAATCGATTTACCGAATTTGACTCCAAATTTGAGAGGAGCTGTTGCTATAGCCAGAAGATTGATTGTAAGGCTTTCAACGTATAGAGATCCATTGTGTATAGTATTCTGCGTTTGGCCTCTAGGACCCTCTTGGCGAATATACGAAGGTGGAACCCAAACATTTAGGCCTCGGAATGTATCAATTAGACCTTCCAACTTCTTCTCTTGATACCGCGTTGGCATCTGTTGTTGAAGAATGCGTGTCCTCTTGTAGGGTTAGATCTCAACAGCGCTCCTTTCCATCTAATCAAGTCAATCGCAGGATTGGGGCCTTCTAGAGCTTCCGCTATAATTCAATACAGGGATGCTCATGGTTGCTTTACTTCAAGAGAAGATTTAAAAAAGGTACGTGTTGTCTGTGCTTTCTGTGCTTCATATCGAGGGTGGTTTTTTTTTTCAAGGTCAATGGAATCGGATCTCGAATCTTCCAGCAATGCGCTGGATTTCTTCGGATTCGGTCAGCTGGAGCCAATCGGGACACGCTCGATCAAAACATCACTCTCCTTCACGAAGATGTTGATATGGACGCGTCTCCCAGAAAACGCAGAAGGGCGTCCAATTCAAAGCGATTGAATGATTCGAGGATTCACCTTCAAAACTCTGATGGTGTGAATCCTCTTGACAGCACGTGGATCCATCCTGAGCAATACGACGCTGCTGAAAAACTAATTCGAGCGAGTGGTGTTTCACTATCAACGTTAAATGAGAATGAATCCCGAAAAAGGATACAAGCTCTTTGTCAATCTGTTCCCACCATCGTGCTTTTGACTGAATTGGGGGTTGATGAGCCAACGCTGAAGCTTATTGTCGATGGACTAACGAGTCCTGTCGGTAAGAACGTTCGAGTCTGATGTTGAAGGTTTCGCGCAGCAGAGGCTAATTGCTGCGTTGCCAAGCTTGACGGTATTCAGATAGCACGCTTTGATTTTGTAGGTTTTGTGGATATTCGGAGTCATATGGAGGCCCCCTTGTTCAGAAATCGAGTTCTAGGTCTCGATGAGATCCACCCTGGGGACCGCTTGAAGGGACGTATTACGAACATCACATCATTTGGGGTTTTCGTCGATATTGGGATTGGGAGGGAAGGAATGATTCATCGCAAATCTCTGCAGCACCAACTCGAACAATTATTGATTGGACAGACAGTCGATGTCAAGATTATTTCGATTGATCGTGACAGAGAAAAACCAAGAATTTCTCTTCAATTAAATAATGGACCATAATTTGATTTTTTCGTTGTACTCAATGTTGTACAAAACAAATTTGATACTTTAATACAAACAAATTTGATACTTTAATACAAACAAATTTGATACTTTCATAGAAGGTTGTTGTCTTAACACCCATGCCCGTCACTTTAATTGTCCTCATCTTAATGACCCTCATCTAATCAATTTAATGACCCAATAACCATCTAGCGATACTCATTGTGATATTTCATAAAATGTCTTCCCAATGAAATAATTAGCCCATCCGTATTCATTAATCTCATTTCTGCCATGACAAAATTATGGCTGCACGAAAGGATCTTTGTTTCGAGCCTCAACTCCTCACCCACTTTGCTTTGTCGTAAGAAATCAAACGAACTTGATACGGTCAGAGGGTTACGGGATTCCTTGTCAATCAGAGTTGCCTGAAATGCTGTTGCATCGAGCATAAAGCTTGCAGTAACACCTACGGGCAGTCAGAATAAGATTTGGAGATGGGAACAGAAGGGTATGTTTGTATAGTCGGGTTTAGATGATTGACATTTAAAACTCACAAACTGACCTGCATGAATCGTGCCACTAGCATGATGACACATTTCTTGGGTGACTTCGACAGAGAAACTGCAACTTGTTCCATCAACTGAAACTGAAGTGACTTCCATTTTTGGGAGTGTATGCTGTTCAAATGCATTCCGTTGTCTGGATACTAATTCTGCTTGATTCAATGCGTGAGTCAGTTTTTCCTTGGTCATCGGTGATAGGCTTGCGGAAGGCATGAAACCGCAACTGGTGTAAGGTCGAAATAGACATCGCTTTATCAGTTGGGGCGCGATTGCTCCACGCAGAGCACGTAACGCTCGAACTTGATACATCTTCAAATTTGGTGAATAGAAAATGTCGAATGACGACACTATTGTGCGATACCTGATCTATGAGGTTCGATGATGGAGAAAGTGAGAGGGGGTTCTTCCAGACGGTGCAAAAGCAAAAGACAAGTAGAAAACAATCAAGAAGGCGTTGCCCCATTCCGGAAGATCAAGAAGAGGGAAAATTAAGAAGAAGCCGCCAATTTTCGTATTCGCGATTTGAGTTGTTGATTCTCCTTCTGGAACAAAGAATGCATAATGAGTTGCTTGCTGTTTCTTGCTGTTGCTTGCTATCTTGAGTGACGATGTTTGAAGTATGTTGCCATTCATTGACTACTCTGGTTTCAAGTCGCCCTATTGCTTGATGGCAATTGCATCTTACCGTCAGTCTGTCAATTTCCGCGTCCTTCATTACAAGTTGTTGTTGCAGCTCATCCAATGTTGCTGCTGCTCCTTGAGATTTTTCAAGAGAGCGAGTTTGATCCTGATAAGAATGCAGCTCTTTACAATATTCTCAAAACGATCGCGATCAATTTATTAATTATGAAACTCACTGTTAATGTCGATTCGAGTTTCTTCAATTGCCCTTCAACTGCACTTTTTTCATTTGTCAGTCTGGAAGCGAACAACATTCTTATACACGCTATATTGATCACCAAACTCACTTTTGATTAACAGTCATGAGCATTTGCGTTTTAGCCTCTACTTGATTGCGATGCTTATCCAACTCTGATAAAAAAACCCAAGGACTCCAAATTTCTTCTTAGAAAGTATTTTAATAACAATAAACCGCGCAATTTAGCAAAACAAAGACAAGAAGTTCTATCCTCATCGGTTGGCTTGCGTGGCTCAATACCCCATCCTCAATTGCCAGTCCTTGATGAGGTGGTTGCCAGTCATCAAGCTCAAAGTTCTCTCCTTGACATTTTCTGCTTACCGCGATTCAAGGATTCGCATTTCTTTGCGAATCGATTTTTCTCGCTAAGGACGCTTTCATATCTTTCTTTGCTTTTTCGAATTTCCTCTTCAACTTCGTTCAATTTTTCTTGCAATTGATTTTTTGAGTGAATTACTTCATTAATTGTTTGTTGTGACACTTCATTGCTATGAGCTAGACGATCTTCAGCGCTGCCCTGATAACACAAGTTCACATCAGCCATAATAACAACACAATGGAAGTTGACATCAGCCAGAATATCGTACAATGGAGAGAGATCATCATCTAGTGAAGTGAAAGAGTCATGGCATCTCTGTATGTAGAATAATCAATTCTGAACCAAGAGACTAAACATCACTATGCTGATGCAAAACACATCCATCAGAACTAGATGTATTCCATAAGAGGGAGCAGTTAAGATGCGACTCATATACCACATGGTAATTCTCTATCTATACCACATAGTAATTCTCTATCTATACCACATGGTAATTCTCTATCTATACCACATGGTAATTCTCTATCTATACCACATGGTAATTCTCTATCTATACCACATGGTAATTCTCTATCTATACCACATGGTAATTCTCTATCTATACCACATGGTAATTCTCTATCTATACCACATGGTAATTCTCTATTTATACCTGTGCAGATTTCATTGCATCATATTTCGTTTTAATGTACAAGAAGGTTTCTGTAAGATCTTTGTTTTCACTCTTTAAAGCTCGAATTTCACGCTCCAGAGATGCCTGTAAAATAAAACATGTCCCAATACAATGAATGTCCCAAGACTGTTTCAAAGGCATCACCATCGTCAGTCTGCCGTCTCACCTTGTCCCTGGTTGCTTCTTCAAGCTCGAGTTTAGTGGATTCATTAATGGACGGCAAAACAGATGAAGACCCCGATCTTCCAACAACTCGCAAGGTTTCTAATTCTTTCTATCAAACAGAAATCAATTTGTCCTTCATTTAAGCGACTTATTTTTTGCAACACGTACATCTTTTTTTTCTGTTTCTTCGAGAAGTTTCACATGCGCGCGTTGCAAGTTGTCAAGATGATTTCTCAATTCAACCGTCTGACAGACACAGCGTTTTGTTATCAACTGATGTCCCAACTGTCCCACTCACTGCGAAAGTGTCCTGCATTTGCGAGTCGAATGGATTTAATCCCGTCCGACTGAGTCCTGAAGTAAAAAATAGAACAGTCGTCGGGACAGGCCGTTGGGACAGACGTTTTGCACAAGCCATTTGGAATCAGACGGAATTCGAGCCTTTACGAAGGCCAAGCACTCCATGATGCATTATTGGGGAAAATTGGGACTCACGTGAGTTTGCAAGATCTGGAAATTTTGAATTTGTCATAAACAAAGAATCTTTTGGAGAAATTCCTTGCATTGAAAATTCTTGAGTCCCAATACGTTTTTGGAGTGAACGATAATCGCGTCTCAAAAGTTCTAATTCCTCGATATGCTGATAAATATTGCAACAAATGAGGCGCACCCAATAGACTTGGTTTCAATGGACTTACTTTCTCCGATTGCAATCTTGCTTCCTTTAGCTTCGTTTCTAATTCTGCTACGTGCGCAGCCCTCTGTTGAATATCCAGAGCAATACTTCCACCATCCAGCGTTGAAAGGCCGTTGACAGTCGCGTCATCTAAGAGCACCAACAAACCAATAAATGATGTCGGTCTCTCAGAAGTTTGCAAGTCGCACTTCGTCCTGGCTAACCTGAAGTTACTTGGGCAATCATCTGTTGGTAGGCCTCAATTGTTGCAGCAATATCCTGTTCCAAAGCGTTCTTTTCTGTTTGCGCTCTGATAGAGAAGCAGTAAATCAAACGACTTTCAAAGTTAGAACCCCGTTACAAGAAATTCAAAAGGAAATTCAAATAACCCATACAGACAAACCTTACCGATCTCTTTCCTTCAGCCACTTCTCTTGCCTATCTAAACTTTGATGAAGTTGAAAATTCAACGACTGCATCAAAACTATCAAATCTAGGGAAGGAGGTTGAAGAGATGCGCCATTTTGCTGCTCGAAAGGATTATCAGACGCCCTTCCAACTGAAAGCAAAAGATAAATGGAAGTGGTGGTGAAATAATCAGCCGAAGCTACTGAAGTACAAAATCGCCCAATAGTGTTTGAAGCGATCACGTTTAGCTTAAGAGCCAGCTCACTCGTTTGTAACCCCACAGCTTGCAACAGAGCGGAGTTCAATACATATTGGCGGCCGTGGAAGCACCGAATTGTTAACGCGAGCAAGTCACGTTGATTTCTAGTCATCGTGCGGAGGCGAAGAGTATCATGCGGATCGGGACTTAGTTTTAACTGAAGAACAAAGAAATATAAAAAAAAATAGATCTTCAGGAAGGAAATGTTGTGATCAATACTCAGAGAAGTCTTTGATTATGTTTTAAAATTTGAATTAAAATTTGTAACATGTATTTTACCTCAAACTGTATTGGATCGTGATAGTTGAGTGAAACTAAAGGATAATCTGCTCCATAGCGACACTCCCATTCACACAAATACCCAACATTCATGGGACCTACAGATAAAGAGTAACAACGGCGCTCATATCATGGTCTTCCTTCTGGACAGCTAAAACTGTATTTCACCCTCAATTGAGGTGGTGGCTTACTTGGTTGAACGACTTTTACTTCTTCACTCGAAACGTTGATTGTCAAACTGTCATCATGATCGATGGACGCTATTCCACTTGTCCTTGTATCATCGGGATTTGACTGTCTGAAGCATGAAATAGAGCGAATTGACTAAATGTGCAAAAAAGTTAAGATGAAGTTAATTGAGGCTGAAAATCTTACAAACGAACTGGAAATCGAGTTGCACCAATTGCTGAGAGAAATAAAGATAAAGATGAAAACAAAGATAAAGATAAACAAAAATAACTCCAAGAGAAACAAAGATAAAGATGACTTCATAAGATTTCATCGTGTTAAACTCAACCGTTCTGTTACACGGAGGAGTTCACCGACTGCTTCATCTCACCCAAATAATTTTCTAAGTTTTTTCTTGTTGCTGGATCGAGATCGAATGGTCCAATTTCACCATAAGCAATTTGTCCACGATACTGGGAATCCAAACCAAGTGGCTTCTACGACTATTTTCGCAGTGATGTCGATCAGCAGTGATTGAATAGATTCTGATGAGGGACAAAACGTTTGCGGGGTGGTGTCCCAACAC